AGGACTTGAGAGGTTCAGGCGGGACAATCATGAGTCTGAAGTCAATCTAGGCTACAAAAAGACCCAGTTTATGATTCTGACTTATTCGCTCAGGGATGCTGATGTCACCTGGCTTGGGGCTTTCTTTTGAGTAGCAAAGTTCCAGGATACCCGGGCCACACACATTCACAGCAGACATACCACCACATCAAAAGTCAGAAAAGCCAGCCAGGGAACAGGGAGAGATGGTCTGTCCCCTTCATTCTGCCATAATGGAGCAGATCACCAGAGGGACACCAAGCCATGCAACCCCAGAGAGGCTGGACTGGACACACAGCCGCCCCCACCCCTCGGATGAGAAGGGCAGATTTAACTTGGTCATTCATTCCCTTTTCTGATATACCTGGGTAAGGACCACTATAAATAATGGAAAATTCAATAGGACAAAATTCAATAAAGGAAAATTCAATAGGACAAAATATAGAAGATATCTAAAGGAGGAGAGAGTCCATGGTAGCTCAGTGAGTAGGCTGCTTGCCTAGTATGTTGAGAGCCCTAGATTTGAACCCCAGTGCTGCATAGAACTGGGCATGGTGACACACCTGTAATTCAACAGGCTGGAGAATCATAAGTTCAAGGACATCATTGGCTACCCAGCAAGTTCAGTATAGGCTCCATGAGATGGTGGGGAGAGAGAGATTGATTGTTTCTTCAGGTTGGTTTTCTCACAAGTTGTAGAGTTGGGCTAGACAGAAGAAAAATGAGCAGAGGCAAGCCACATACCAGGAGAGTGAATGGCCTGGATTGGAGACACACACACAAGTATGCTTCAGGAGATGGCAAACAAGCCAGCTGGCTACAACAGAGATTTCCAGCAAGTGAGACATTTATTGTTGAAGATGATTATAAAGCTAGAAAGAAAGGCATATTGGGCGAGGGGGTGGTAGTGCACGCCTTTAATCCCAGCACTTGGGAGGCAGAGGCAGGCGAATCTCTGAATTCAATGCCAGTCTGATCTACAAAGCAAGTTCTAGCACAGCCAGAGCTACACAGAGAAACCCAGTCTGGAAACCAAGAAAAGAAAGAGTGAAGAGAAAAAAAAAAAAATTTGCCTAGATCACAGGACCATAGGCTGAGCTCTGTCATCAGTGGCTGCTGCTCTGACGACACCCTCTGAGTGCTGTGAAGATTAACCTTGCCCTCCCACTGATAGAAGCAAGTACCAGGTCTGAATTACAGGTTGCTGAGCCCTGGGGAATCCAGTCCTCAGTACAGCAGATCCCAAAAAGGAGGATTCTGTTTCCACAGAGATGCAAAAGCCTGGAGGCAGGCCTGAGGAGCAGGTAGAAATCACAACTGACCAAAGAGATGGTTTTAAGGTAGCTCAGCAGGTAACGGTACCTGCCACCAAGCATGACAGGCTGAGTAACGAACGTCCCTGGGCCCCACACAGTGAAAGGGGAGGACAGACTCCAGACGCCTGTCTTCTGACCTCAGAAAGTGCTCTGTGACATATGTGTGCATGGGTGCACACACACAAATAAATGTAATAAATAATTTAACAACACAAAAGAGAATCCCAGGCTTGGCCAGGTGTGGTCCTACTATCCTCTAGTCCCATCACTCAGGAAGCTGAGGCAGAAGTATCATGAGTTCTAGGCCAGGGAGGGCTGCACAATGAGTCAGCCTAAGAGCAAATACTGAGACCCTGTCTCAAAAAAAATGGTGGGGTGGGGGAATTCTAGGTTCCAAACCGTATTTATCACACCAGGGATCTCAAGGTTTGGAAAGTAACTCAGACATTTACAGCTTAATTACCTAAACTTCAAAATGGGGCTTAATCCACAAACCTGACCAGACTAGGTGCCTAGCCCCCACCTTATTGACGCTGAGGGTTCCTACCGCTTCAGTTAATGACACAGTTAAACAAGATGGAAAAATGTACTGTGGTCTATTAAAAAACCCTTGCCCCCTTGAAGACATGCATCTGGGATAGGTAGAGACCCTGATTTCACCAGAACAGCAGGCACCTCACTGAAACTGTTTACAGCACAGGGGCAGGGTCCACACCAAGGCACAGTGGGTAGAACTGATTTAAGGCCCTTATTAAAATGTTTCTTTGCAGAGCATAAGATACCCCCAACTCCCTCTGTCTAACTTCCGTCTCACATACACCCTCCCCAGGACACCCAACACCAAAGGTCACATCTCGAACATCAGAGTCCTCCCAGAAGAAATTCAGCAATTAGTGTTACAAGGGCCCCAGCTCCAACAGAATTTCCTTTGACTTCAGAAAGAAACCACAGCAGCAAAGACAGACACATCCAGCAAAGCCACACACCAAAACCCACCAGGCAGTCCAGGAGGCCTGTGTGTAAGCTGGGGCTGCTTTGCCCATATGTCTGGGCCCTCATCCTGGCTGAGTTTAAAAAAAAAAAAAAAAAAAAACCTCCATACTTCCTCTGGGAGCAGATGTGGGACTTTGCCATGAGCAATAACTACCACACACATAAGGAACATGGGGTAACTCCAGAAACACCCGCTAGGAATTCCCAGCACGGGTTCTTTCTGGACTTTGCTTACCTCTCTTTTTATAACTGGGGGTGGGAGAGACTTGCATTCTCTGGCCCCTAAACCCTCAACAGCTGGTCAGGAAGATGACAGCAGACATTCCCTGCCTCTGCCCTCCCGGCGGGCACTCTTTAAAGGAATGGCTATGAGATCACCTAAGGCAGACCCCTGGGCGGAATCTTGCCCCAAGAGGGCTGTTTTGCGGACCACCACAGGTGCTTCTGCTGTATCAGAAGGTCCTTGCTGGTTAGGGCAGCAGAATGGGTATTTGAGTAGCTTGGCGATTTCCGGTTAAATCACTTCTAACACCTTTAGTGGTGACTGACTCCCAGGTATCATCAGCCAGGAAATAAAAATCTGCGGAGCAGGGGTGCCCCTTGTTTGCCCTGGAGATGCGGGCCACACCCTCATCAAAGTACAGAGGTCCTCCACGAAAAGCCAGAGTTGAGCTTTCTTTTTTTTTTTTTTTTTTTTTTGCCTTTCTGCCCTTAGGAAGACAGTATTTCTGTCCTCCCAGAGCACGAACAGGATGGAAATCCAGTAAACAGCCCGTCCGCACCTTGGCAAGCCGGCCATGCCCGATTTTGGCAGCGGCCTTCACACTTTAGTCACCACTACAGCCTGGGACCCTCCGCTCCCGGGATACAACCCAGGCACCGAGTGGGCTCAAGGCTCGGGCCTAGTAAGAGGAGGGGATGAGGCACCCCTCAGTCTAACCTGCCCTCACCGGCAGGGCCAGCTGGGCTTCCAGCGTTGCCTCGGAACTTTCAGGGAGGGTGCCGAGCTTGTCCGGCCGGCACAGGCAACAAAGCTAGCACCGCGCCAGGCGCGCCCTGGGTCAGGTCGGTCAGGATCGAGACCCAGGCCGGTCTCCCTCACCTGGGCTCCAAGGCCCGGGACACTCCCAGAGGGTTAGCACCTTCTCACGGGATGGGAGGGGGCTGCCCCCCAAAAAGGAGCT